ACAGAGCCCCAGAGTTGCAGTCGGGATTGGCCTCGAGAACGTCCAGAAGCTGTTGTGCTTCGAAGGTCACCGCACGGACCACACGTGGATTGCGAAGCAGCTCCCGGGGAAGACGCCACAGACGCCTTTTGGTGGTTGGAGCAGTGTGCGCAGTCGACGTGAGGGTAGTGGTGTGAGTCAAGTGGTCGCCGAGAAACGCGTTTGGAGCCAAGGTGGAGGATTCGTGGAAGGCGGTCACCAAGTCGCGGTCTATGAAGATGTAGTCCAGTCGGTTGCGCCGACGCGGGCCTGAGAGCACCTTAGCGAGGGGGTATTTCGATCGCCAGGCGTCCACTACGCGCAGCGCCGACAACCACTCGAAGCATTCAACTTTCCCAGCGTTGTGGCCAGGATGGAGCGTGGTTGCGTCAAGCGCGATGTCGAACGGGAGTACGAAATCTCCGCCCACGATGTGGATGCTGTCGACCTCAAACTCACGGGGCTGACTTTCGAAGAAAGGGGCACGGAGGTTGTCCTCGACTGGGGCGTATTCGTCATGGAAGTAGACAGACTGGTTGTTCCATCTGGTTTGGACAACGAGGTACCGATCGGGGACACGAAGAGACCAGAGAGGCTTGAGGTCGTTGAAACCGGGCATGGACGAGTGGAAGAACGTTGCAACTCCCTTGCTGCGGTGTTGGAGGGTGGTGTGGACAGACGTCCGGTGGTCGTTGACGAAGAGTTGGTATTGTTTGTATCCGACGTGGTTGGTCAGGTGACGACGGATCGAGCGAAAGTGGTCCTGGTTGTCGATCTTCGTCTCTTGAAAGAAAACACATTGGGTGATGGTGGATCCCAATACTTTGGCAGGAGCGTCGGAGTTTTTGATAAAGCTGTTGATGTTGCAGGTTGTGATGGAGATCGAGGGTGCGCCTCCGAGGGTGGGGGGAGCGACAAGCTTAGCCGCTCGAAGTGGCAACATCATCGGACCACAGGTCGTTGAGGCTGCGGTGGACCAGGGTGCTCACCGATGCGTCAAACAGGATCTGGTTCGACGCATCCATGTCCAGGGTACCATGGGAGTCGATCGTTTTCAGCCGATCCATATCACGCACCCAGTCGAGGAGAAGCGTAGTTGTAAGATCGTCTCCCATGGGGGCGTCACCTTCCACGTTGCCGTCCGTGCGTGCCTGGACTGAAGCTGAGGTAGCAGCTGACGATAGGAGCGCTCGCGTACGGTCCCAAACGATGGATCCCAGAGGAGAGTGTAGAAGCACAGATTTAAGCGTGCATGAAGCGAGGAATCGGTCACCTCCACGTTCAGGGAGTGAGAAGACAGGTGATGATGCAGCAACGCAGAGGGCAGAATCGCTCGCGTAGTAAATGGGTGCCACGGAGGCGAGAACGATTTCCCCACGGGCCAACACACTTTCCGCATCCAGCGCCAGTACCATACATTCGTCGCCATCGTGAAGAGCGACGTGATCTGTTACATTGGCCGTGCTGAGAAGCATGGCAAAGTCGTCGTCAAGAGCGGGGATTGAAAATTTGTGACCGAAAACATTCGCGTACAGTTTGTAGAACGGGGTCGAAGATCCCCACGTCGCACGCAGTCAACGGCTCACCAGGCGGAGGCGAATCAGTTGGACGAGTTGGGTGGGGTCGGAAGACGCAAGAGGGAGTAGTTGTCGACCAAACTCGATGGGAAAGATCACGTTGAATCCAGTCGGCCTCACCATTTTGGATGTACGTGGCTAGGTCCAAGTTAGTGGAGCCACGGGCGGCGACACAGTGAGAGTCGAAGGAGGCCTGCTGGGACGAGCGATCCATCATTGCTAATTCCTGCAGGATGGCGTCAAGCGGCACTTCAATGCGAACGGCCGTGCCCTTCACAATTTTGGTGCCTCTGACGAAGCTTGAAGGTGGGGTTGACGAGGGGGCATCTGGAGACTCGAGTATTTGGTGGACTACCATAACGTCCTTGCCATTGGAGGCTGTCGACTGGGAAGGGATCACCACGACATGCTGGTGCAGTACGTCAAACATGTTCGTCGAGACCCAGTGACGCACGGGAGAGCTAGGTGAGGAGGGTGCTCCGCGGGTAACACGAGTCCATGCCACGGGTGGGGGAGTTACGACACACTGAGGCTTAGAGGAACCTGTCGTGCGGGGTGAAGGGGACACGCCTGGGGGTGGCGGAGTCGGTGGACGAACAATCTTGCGCTCACGGGCCGCAATATCCATGTCCGTACGCTGAAGGGGCTGCTTGTGGTTGTACCAACCTTTTCCGTAGACACGGTGGCAACGACCCAGCAGAATAATCTCGTCGATAAGTCGACCGTTAGATCTAAACAGGGACGGCGCATCGGCCGTGGCAAACGTCAAGCGGTAGCGGGACGTTTTTGCACTCTGCAGCGCCGAAACCTGTGTGTACGCGCCCGCGATCGGCGGGGCACCCCACGCAGCGAGGATACACCTGAGGTGCCGTTCAGCCGCGCGATCGTGGGCAAAGTCAAGTATGTCGACGTGAAACCCATCCATTGCGTGGGCGGACTCCACAAGGAAGGTTTGCTGTCCGTCTTTGACAGGCAGCTTGAATGAGACGCCGGTCAGGGCGTCAATGGCGCGGAACGATGCGAGGCCCAGAACCAGTTGCTGGTTGGCCAGGTCCTTTCGAAGTTGGATGAGCTCAGCCAATGAGGAGCCGACATTGGCCTGGTGGTTGTCGAAGAGCACGGCCTTCAAGGCC